TACCTGCCCCTAGTTACTTTATCCACACGTGGGTTCACTTGGTTATTTGTACTTTATCACACATGGTGTTAGATTTTTCGGCGTGTGATAAAGATCGGGCAGTCTGCGTGCGTAGGACATGGTTTGGTTTGGTTTGGCCGCACATGGCATTGGATTTTACGGCGTGTGTGCTATAGAGTGGTAGTCCCCCCGTTGGACAGCACATTCCTAAACGCAGGGTAGAAAGTTGAAACCCTACGGGCTAGTCAAACGATTCCCATGTTGGATTGTTTTCCCCCGATACTCGTGTAAGGTTGTCGTATATAGATATTATATTTATACTTATGAACTTTGGGTCGTATACCTATACAGTCTTGAGAGTTTCCGTGGTATTTATATATATATATATATGTATATATGTATACGCTTAATTATTTTAAAAGCTTTCCTTACATATTATGTTTTGTAAACCTATATCTCAGGAAGGGTTTGGTTTGAGTCAAAAGATTTGAACTTGGGTAGTATTATGCCATATCGGGTTTTTGGGAGTACCTCAATTTTAAATTGATTACGTAGGAATGGTTTCAATTGTATGTTTTTAGCATCATTTTCTAAATAGTGGGGGTTAGTATGTTGTTTTCAATTACGATAAAACTTTGTTTTTGTCTACTCACAATTTTCCGAGCCAAGCAATTGAGTCAAGATTCGCATTTCTACGCCCTGAACTTATGTAGGGCAATTTCTATTTGTTTTGTTTTCCTTTGAACGTTTGTTTCTGGTTGTAAACTGAAATTTCCTTAGAGTTGCTCTATTATCGCCCATGTTAGGGTTGGATGTAAAGCCGGAGGCCTATTCTGTAAACTGTGTACTTTTGTATTGTGTATGCTGCCGGTTGGGATTGTTGTTATTGTGTTTTGACAGGTTGAAAATTTGGGAAAAGTTCGTTTTTCAGGAGAGACTTTGCCAAAATTTCGGTAGAAAATCTCAAGCCTCTTTTCCTTTGTTTTCGGAAAAGAGAATGTTGTTAGTAAGTGGGCCCGACATCAGTTTGATGTCGGAAAAACCATAGGGTTTCTCACGAATTCCAAGGAACTCGGAGCGGGTCCTATGAATTTATGCAAATTTCCCTATTATTGATGTGTCAACTGCTTCAGATATTATTCAACTAAAATTGAAGCCATAAATTAATCTGTCCAAACTTGTTTATTTGGATTTCCAACCAATTTGACTTTTTTTAGTGAACTTGGTTTGTCCTAGTTTTTTTCCAGCCTGGATTGACTCAATTGTGTGGCTCTTTGTTTCTGATGCCCACCTCTATAAAAAAAAATTTAAAAATAAATAAACTGAAGTTGAAAATAGTTGCACAAAGAACTCACATCACTAAAATTAAACATGATCTCAAGCCAAGCATACAGAACTAAAAACATTTGAAATCTAAAAACAACCCATAAGCTTAAATAAACACTATCATCACCACATGAAGCAACGTTACTCTCAAACCCACCACATACATGCTTGAGGAAAGTATAGAACATGGGGCAGATCTTAAAAAACATTAGCTATCCAACATTACATAATAGGGAACAAATGCTCTAAACTGACAAAGTTGACCAAAACCAACTAGACAACTTGCAACAAACTTCTTCAAATAAAGGGTGGAACTAAATTCAAGAAATTGAGAAATTTTAGAGGGATGATTTTGTGAGAAGGTTTGGATTGATGAATTAGTCAAAAAGAGGTGCAATATTCAATATTCGAGTTTGAGCATAGCTCAGACCAAATCACCACAAGAGACTTGTGTTATTTACTAGTGAGATTCATTATTATACCTAATATAGGGGCCCAAATTATAAAAATATCATATATGAAATGAACTTTACAAACACACCCAAAACCCATTTTAAACATAACAAAGAGGCTTTTAACTTCTTATAAATTACAAAAATGTCATTGATTTCTTAAAACAAGCCCAACCCCAATAGCTCATAAAAAAAAATGAAAAACACTTAATAGGACATCAAAGTAATTTAATAATTAAAATTAAATTAAATAGAGCCAGCTGTTATTTTTTGGGTTCTTTTTGGGTTTGTTTAGAGCTGTTCCACTAGAGAAGGCAAGGGGCGGGCTGGGGGGGGTTTGAGCCCAAATCGCGTTTCCAATAGAGAAGGCTAACCCGGGCAGGAGATGGACCCCAGCAGACTAGGCTGGCCCGAGGGGGAGGCGAGCCCGTGCGTGAGTATGAGTTTTGTGACGTCACCCTGACGTTCAAATTTTTTTTACTGTTGGTGCGTGCACGCGCCAACATTCAAAAAAATTCAACGAGCGCTACAGTTCCGCCAACGTCTAGTAGCCACGTGGCGTCGTCTGGACATTCCAATTGCTTTTTGTCCTCCAATCCAATGGCAACCAATATTTTTGCAATAAAAATATGGAAAAAAAATTTGAATTTTTTATTTATTTATAAAAATACCCAAAAATTAATGAATTTTTTTTCTATAAATACAAACCAATACTCTTCACTTTTAACACCAAATCCTCATATCAACCGATTATGAGATATGAATTTTATAATAAATATTGAGAAACATACATTCTTGAGGAAAGATTGGCTATCCAACATTACATAATAGTTAACAAATGCTCTAAACTGACAAAGTTGACCAAAACCAACTAGACAACTTGCAACAAACTTCTTCAAATAAAGGGTAGAACTAAATTTCAAGAAATTGAGAAATTTTAGTAAAAAAGATTGGATTGATGAATTATTTAAAAAGAGGTGCAATATTCGAGTTTGAGCATAGCTCAAACCAAATCACCACAAGAGACTTGTGTTATTTACTGAGCCAAAAGAGAAAAGATTAGAAGGGAGTAGGGAAAACAAAAACATTTATTATTCCTCCTCTTTTCCCTTTCGTTGTTGAGTTTACAATAAATATAAAAACATAAAATGCCAAAAATAAAAAAACCCATAATAACAAAAATTAAATATTTAAAATATTATTAATAAAACATACATAATTATTAGGAGTCCCCTTCTCTCGCCTCAATCACCTCCAGCCTAGTCATAGGAGAAATTATACAGTAGTACGTTAGTACCACATAGAAATTGACACGTGATACTACGTTACACTGAGCTTGCAACATGTTGAGGTAATAAATTTCTCTCTAACATGTATGTGTTCTCCCGAAACCTCCGTCTCTTCCTTCTTTCTTTCTGCCCTCAGATCCATTGTTTGAAAACTTAAAACTATGCCAAATTTCAGTCGGCAGTTTACCCATTAACACATTGCATGTGCAGATCAAGTTTAGAGCACCCATTACCCGTCAAAGATTATGAGAGAGAAGAGGTAACAAAAATTCCAAAAGGCTCGTTAATTAGAGATCTATGAAGAAATTGAAGAACTTTGCCTGACAAATCCATTACCCACAATCTTTGTTGGTTGGTCTATCACACCATTATTTCATGCAAATTCATTACTCAACAAAGACACCGTCATTATTTTTTTGGGTCAAAGTTGGCGCCTTCAAACTTGAGTTCACTCTAGGAAGAATAACAAAGAAACGGAGTATTGGGGAAGGCAAACGTCGTCACGGTGAAATTTATTACCGCCCAGTGTCGCAAGCTGCGTGCCCCAAGATTTCCGCAACCCAACCATAAAATCATATCTGGATTATCTCTCTTCATTTCCATCGCTCTCTCGCGTCAAACCCCGCCCTGGCCCGGCCCCCCGAATTCCCTGCATCCCAATCCCAGCCCTATTGCTGCTACAACACCTTCCTCCCCAATCTTCGACGGCCACAAACCCCAACTCATCCTTTGGGGGCGATGGCGGGTAATGCCGAGATGGGTCCTTCCTCATTGACCTTGAACTATGTTACATGTGTGTTGGATTTGGGAAAAAAATGTTGAATTTGTCTTCGATTTGGGAAAAATTTGATGAAATTATTGAATTTGGGGAGGAAAAGACGAGGTTGGGTGTGCTGAGAATTTTTGGGATGCGTTGGTGTGTGCAAATTAATGAGTAGCTATGAATGCCACGCCATTATTTGATGGATAATTTGACAGTCAAACTAACATAAGTATGATAGTGGGAGTAAAAAATTTCGTGTAAAAAAGTGAAATATATCCTTAATTCAATTAAAAAATTTGACAATCAAACTAACATAAGTATGATAGTGGTGGTAAAAAATTTCGTGTAAAAAAGTGAAATATATCCTTAATTCAATTAAAAAATTTGACAATCAAACTAACATAAGTATGATAGTGGTGGTAAAAAATTTCGTGTAAAAAAGTGAAATATATCCTTAATTCAATTAAAAAATTTGACAATCAAACTAACATAAGTATGATAGTGGTGGTAAAAAATTTCGTGTAAAAAAGTGAAATATATCCTTAATTCAATTAAAAAATTTGACAATCAAACTAACATAAGTATGATAGTGGTGGTAAAAAATTTCGTGTAAAAAAGTGAAATATATCCTTAATTCAATTAAAAAATTTGACAATCAAACTAACATAAGTATGATAGTGGTGGTAAAAAATTTCGTGTAAAAAAGTGAAATATATCCTTAATTCAATTAAAAAATTTGACAATCAAACTAACATAAGTATGATAGTGGTGGTAAAAAATTTCGTGTAAAAAAGTGAAATATATCCTTAATTCAATTATTAATTTAAAAGAAAAAGACATTTTATCTCCAAAAAGAAAAAGAAAAAAGAAGCATTTAAGGAAGATGGAGACAAATAATAAATGATGGAGGTTAGATAAGACTGCATTTACTGATTTAGGTGAGTATTGGGGCCCGCAAGTCTATAAAGAAAGCTGTACAACACATCACATAACACATGGACCAGATTCTCTTGCGGCCGGAGAGAGAGAGGCCATACTCAATTATTAATTTTCCTCATACAATATATAAAATGGATTAAATATATATCAAAATCCAAAAATAATAGTGATTTTAATAAAAATAAAACTGAAATGATTGATAAAAAGAGGAGAGAGAATAAAATATTCGCAGCTTTAGCTTTGTCTACAACGATTCCATAGCAGTCAACATGATGTCTCTCTTTGCCTTTTGTGACAACTCAAAAGTCGTTCCATAATCGGCAACACCTCAGCTCAGCTCAGGTCAGCTGCCAGCCTCTCTTCTTTATCTCATAAACTTCCAAGTATATCCGCATGTCTTTTCTCTTTCCCAATTCCACTTTTACAGTTATCCTATTATTTTTTAATTGAAAAATAGCTCTTCACATGTATTTGTATATACGCATGTTTTTTTAATGTTCATATTCAGTAATTGCCTTCTTAAATTACTCATTCATTGTCATATTAATTCCTTGTGGTTGTTTCTTGAAGCCCAATTATTGAAGATCACTGTGACAGCTTAGAGGCGGTTTCTGTGTTCAGTTTTTCAATTTGGGCTCTCTGTGTAGAGAAATTCGTTTCTGGGTCTTCTGGGTCGGATCAATTCTGGAATTCGGTTTTGAATACCTGCACTGCGTGCCGTGTTTAAGAGGTTGGGTTTGCATATTTGACGGTGAAGGAATTTTGGGATTTGTAATAAGATCACTTTTTTTTTTGGGTAGATACTAGTTGTCAACTTTTAGCTACGATTCTTCTTTGATTGAATTAATTTTTTTGGTCTTCTTATTTATCCGGATCTGAATTTGCATTGCAATATTTTTTTTTGTTTGTTCGTATTTATTTATCCGGATTCTTCTTTGATTTATCCCTACATTCTACTACCTGGGGTTTTATGAAGTGGGTGTAAATTCTGGCTGTGTGAGCAAATAGATCACATTCCGGTTGTATTGTATCTGGGGTTGTGGTTTTAGAACACCAACTATATTTGACTACTCTTAGCATATGTATCTAGTCGGCTGCTTGATTTGAGCAATGAGGTTTCTCCTAGCACTTGTGCTATTTGTTTCAGTCACCAACACTTGTATCACTAAATTTATATAATTTTTAAAACAAGACAATTATTGCATAATTTGTTGGGTTCATAATGGTACAAGTTGTTTCTGGGTTTTGCTTGAGTTAAAATAAAGTTCATGTTGGTCTAGATTATCCTTGGCAATCAAATGCGTCTGAGACACAAGTTTTCTGATGTGCATTTCAGGACCCTTCTTTGAGAGCCTCCACAACTGCAAGTATCAGAAATTGAATTAGTAAATCGAGAATGAATCAACCAAAAATCAAGCGTCGAGTGGGTAAATATGAGGTAGGAAGGACAATTGGTGAGGGAACATTTGCAAAAGTGAAGTTTGCTAGAAATTCTGATACTGGGGAACCTGTAGCTCTCAAGATTATTGACAAAGAGAAGGTTCTCAAACACAAGATGGCTGAACAGGTCCCTTTCACATTATTCTTAGTTGCAGTTCATTCTCTCTCTTCTCCTTATTTTTCTTTAATTTTTGTTTTTATATATAATTAGACATTACATATGTGATCTAGTTACGGAAGATTCTTTTCTATTCTGCTTTGGCTATGAGTTATTATTTCTCAGTTGCTGTTTCATTAAAATATGAAAAGATTTTGAGATGTTGTCTTGCAAATAGTTTGCAGGACTAATTCCACTTGTTGAATTGCATTCCTAAGATGATGTTCATTTAATTGGTTGAATAATTTTGTACCTGGGAAAGTTTAGAAGGGTTCTTGTTTTTCTGTTTTCTTTTTGGTTTCTTTTTGTATGCATATCCTGAACATAATTTAAAAATTTAGCAGAAAGGAGCCTAAGAAGTTGACTTAGTAATAAAGGTCTAATCATATATGTTTTGCTTTTTCATACTTTTACAGATTAAGCGGGAAATAGCAACAATGAAGCTGATTAAGCATCCAAATGTTGTTCGGTTATTTGAGGTCTCTCTCTCTCTCTCTCTCTCTACATATATATATGTGTGTGTGTGTGTGTGAACTTCAATGTGCAACACATGTAGTGTGTGGCTTCTACATTCACCTTGCAGGTTATCTGAAGTAGGTCTTCTTGTTATATGGATGTCATAAGTTAATGGAGGAATATCACCAACTTGTTTCTGTTTTCTTCAGCCAAAATATGCTACTTCCTTCAATAGGTTTCCAAAGAGATGTTTGCATGTCCTTAAAAAATCAAATCCAACCGAAATTTCATTTCTTTTTTCTTTTCCAAGGAGCGCATTTTTATTGGAGTTATCCTTTTACCTTACCAAATTTTATGGTATTGGGATAAATCTGAAAGTTCAAAATTGCAATGACTTTCATCAGGAGATGTTAATATTTCACTGTTGGGATGATAAACATGACTTTAGTCACGATTTTGTATTGCATATGTTAATCTTTAATGAGTACAGCTTTACTCCCTGGGGAAAACATTGTCAATTCTGTGGATTCCTACCCTCCTCGATGCCAATGTGCAGCAAATAGAAGCCTGGTAGACATCACTGCTGCTATGGAATACGAACACATGCAAAATTGCAGGCACTTTAAACAATTCTTACCAGATTTCCTCTTCTATTAAGTATCTCCTCACAACTATCAGTTGATGATCCATAGCCACTACAAATTGGCAGGAAAATGTGATTAAGAAAGAAGAAGAAAGTGTTCTCTGTTCTCTGAAAAAGTTCAATTCCTTCCCTCTGTCTTTCTTCTCACTCTCTGTTTGTGTTGGATTGTTGTAATTTAGTCATACCACCACAATATCTCTAGCCAAATAAAACATAGCAAAAATAGAAAAGTGGGCAGTTTTCAGTAGCATTAATGATGTGGACCATATGTAGCTTCCATCTAGTGTAGAGCTGCTGTGGTGCAAGATTTTGCAATTGGCTGCAGGACTAGGAAGGAAGTTTCTAGTAAGGGAAAAGTGACTCCGTTGAAAACCAGCAAAAATGGCACTACATTTTGACCTTAAGTTGATTTCCTTAAGGTGCACAGTCTATTGATAATTTTCCAATTTTTCAGGTAATGGGGAGTAAGACAAAGATATTTATAGTTATGGAGTTCGTTACCGGTGGGGAGCTCTTTGACAAAATTGTGAGTTAATTTTCTGCCAGTTCTGTTCAAATTTTTTTTCATTATCCATTTTACAAAAATAAATTACATATTGGAGTCCAGAACACAGTTTAACCATTCCCATTTAGCATATATTCTCTTCAAGAGCCGCTAATTATTGGTAGAGTATTTTCTGATGGAAGCTTCTTTCTATTTGAAGGTAAACCATGGACGGATGAGAGAAGATGAAGCACGGAGATACTTCCAACAGCTTATTAATGCTGTTGATTACTGCCATAGCAGAGGTGTCTATCATAGAGATCTGAAGGTACTTAACCTTTGCAAACAAGTGAATAACGGATATAAATATAAGAGAACGATAAATAATAACCTTTAATTTTCATGGATTTTCTTGCAGCCAGAAAATTTGCTATTGGATGCATGTGGGAATCTTAAGGTTTCAGATTTTGGATTGAGTGCACTGTCCCAACAAGTCAGGGTATAAATAATATAGTGCCATCTGAATTCACTTTCTTTCATCATTCATCTGTAAATATCATTTGATCCTACTGATGTTAGCTTCTTGTGTGGAGGTTCTGTATAAATATATTTAAGTTGTTTAACTATTTGTAGACACAAGTTTTGAACTCTTTTTGAAATTCTTGAAATTGGTATAACATTTATAAGATTGAAGATATCTGAAATTTAGTCTCTGGCTCACTTAAGACTCTCATGTACACTGTAATCTGTGATGCACATGCGACTATTGTTCTAATTAGGTTGGTGCATTTTTGAAATGGCATGATACATCTTAAAGGTCTAGCATTTATTTTTTACTGTAAAATTGCACTTGCAGGATGACGGCTTGCTTCACACTACATGTGGAACTCCAAATTATGTTGCTCCTGAGGTGTGGATATTTATTCATGCCAAACTTCTTCCACATTATATATCTCTTTCTACACTTTTGATCCTTAATCTTGTGAACATGTACTGTCTTTGAGTTTAGGTCCTTAATGATAGAGGCTATGATGGGGCAACTGCGGACTTGTGGTCATGTGGAGTGATACTCTTTGTATTGCTTGCAGGTTACTTGCCTTTTGATGATTCTAATCTTATGACCCTGTATAAAAAAGTGAGCAATTTACTGATTGTATAGTGCAACCATGTAGTCTTCTTCATCTTCAGTTTATTACTTTCTGTTGCTATGTGTGCAGATCTCAGCAGCTGAATTCACTTGTCCCCCTTGGCTCTCTTTTGGTGCCATGAAGTTAATAGCTCGAATTTTGGATCCCAATCCTATGACTGTAAGTACTTGTGCGCATTCCGTTGATAAGCTCATGGCTTTTGAGCCGATTCTCATATCTGATTAATATAGTGCCATTTTTTGTAATCTGCACCTGGGTAGTGATGGATATTCATGCTAAAAACAAATGGTTTTATGGATAAAAAAAGACAGTTTTATTAAGAGAAAAGAAATTAGAAGCATGGTCAAGTAGTCCATGAAACACAAAACAACATAGGAATCATAAAAAGCCAAAGAGGAAACTGTTGGGACCCACTCTTGGATTTCTCCCCCTGGAACCGTAGAGGAGTCTTGAGCATGTCCAATACCAATTGGGTGTCGGGCCCAATAGCTAACTAACCTTAATCCAAGCCTTGGAGCAATTAAGGACTCGACTTCTACTTAAAATCCAGCAGTCTCCCCTGTAATTAGCACTATCCCAAATTCTTGACCTGTACGAAAATCACAATAATAATCCCTAATCCTCAAAAGAACAATCTCCAACAATCTCATAGAGGTCTGAGACACTTTAAACAAATAAAGGTCACCCTAAACATGGGCTTATCAGAGCATAGTCTACTTTGTTACAAAACTCAATAAGAAGTTCAAAAACATAAAGGAATGGAAACCCCACGATAGCAAGGGGAACTGAGAATGAGAGGAAGTGAATGCCTCCACGTAATTCCAGCTGAACTCAAGATCTACTGCCTAGGCAAAACAGAAATAAAGTTTTGGAAACCTTTCATTCAACGGTCAAGTTTGAACATCCATTCCAATCTCCTATGATTACCAAAATGATTTGAAGGTGCCTAACCACTGTCAGTTGTGAATAAACTGAGGCATTATGCTGTGTGCTTTTTACCCTTCATTGTGTCATCCATTTGTTACATATTTATTTCATATTTTTCCTTTTTTAGTCACAACAGATGGAGACAGAAACCGAGAATACATATATTGAACATTTTTCCTGCTCCGTTTCTGCTTTCCTTTACTATTTTATTGTGGTCATCTCGACCACCTTTGTAATTTATTGACTTTTGCAATAAATCTTGTTTCCTTAAAAAAAAAAATTTGTTTTACTAATTGACTTATTTATTTCCCTTTCGATTTCTTAAATTCATGTAAAATTTCATGATAATATCATCTGTTAAAATTCATGATAATATGATCTGTTACTTAAAATTCATGATAATATGATTTGTTACTTAAAATTCATTTGCATTAACCTGATTGTTTGAATATGTTGAGCATGTATAATTGTACCACAAAGTACACTTCGTGCAGCTTTTGAAGTGGCCTCCAGAACTGAGAATTTATTATTGACCAAATTTTTTATGTGGACTTTCCTTAAATGTTCCCCTCACCACCAGTTATTTAGTTGGCAATCCTGATTTCCTGTTTTATATGGCAGCGTATCACTATTGCTGAAATTCTTGAAGATGTATGGTTCAAGAAGGATTACAAGTCACTTGTGTTTGAGGAGAAAGAAGATACAAACTTGGATGATGTAGAAGCTGTTTTTAAGGATTCAGAAGTATGTGGAAGGGATTCTATTAATTATGAATAAGATTTTGTCTTTGGGTGGTAGGCATAATAAAAAGTTTCTTGAAAGAAATTGGTGCTATTCTAAAATTTGTCTGATGCATGTTCTTGGTTTCATGACAGGAGCACCATGTGACAGAAAAGAAGGAAGAACAACCAGCAGCTATGAATGCATTTGAGTTAATTTCAATGTCAAAGGGGCTTAACCTGGGGAATTTGTTTGATGTAGAACAGGTTTGCTTGTTGAAGGGATTGCTGGATTTCTTTAGCTGCATGTGTTGTACATAGTATTAGGCCTGTTACACGTTATAAGGAGTCCGATATATGTTGTGAAATTTTCCGTCACTCTCTCCCCAGCATTTTAGGTTTCTTTGGAATCTTGGTGATAAAAGACTTAAGTTTCATAAATTTGTGTAATAGGAAAGATAAGTGTAATTAGTGAAAACTACGAAACAGTTAAAATAAAACGCATTGTTCTATAAAACACATTGCTTTTTCTGATGTTATCTGCTATTGTTTATCCTTTTATAAAATTAATCTGCAGGAATTTAAGAGAGAAACAAGGTTCACATCCAAATGCCCTGCCAATGAGATAATTCATAAAATTGAAGAAGCTGCAAAGCCTCTTGGTTTTGACGTACATAAAAAAAACTACAAGGTGAGGACATGCAGAATTTGGAATTTTAGGATTTGAGGCATTTTGTGTACTATGTTGGGAAGATAACGAGTTTTATGTATTCTCTCAGCTGAGGCTTGAAAACATGAAAGCTGGAAGAAAGGGAAACCTTAATGTTGCCACAGAGGTACATATCAAGTTGTGTTGATCATGTAACTAGTAATATAGATCAGTATCAGTTAGACTTTGTTTTTACATACACTTGCATTGATCAGATATTTCAAGTGGCACCTTCTCTTCACATGGTTGAGGTGCGAAAAGCCAAAGGGGACACCTTGGAGTTCCACAAGGTACTCTTGCTTCTGTGAACTTTCTTTATTATTTGATGTGTATAGTCTCATGACATGTTTAACCAATTTTCTGGGAAATGCGATATGTAAAATAAGCTTCCTACTAGGATTTATGGTCGTGGTACTCGGGGCATCGTCTGGAACAAGTGCATGCAAGATAGAGGGCCTGGTTTTTGTTTTTTTGTTTTGGATTGGGGGGTGGGGGTTACGGGTACGGCTGGACAAGGTGCTGTTTGTTAGCACACATTTAATAAAAACATACTTATGTGAGCTAGCTTACTATTAGCCTACCTATCACATACCTTATCATATGTGAAACCAACATATGTGAGCTAGCTTTTTAGTACATTGGAGGTAAGAAGTTGACATACTTGAATGTTAGTTGAATTATTTACCCTTTTTTTTCTGCAGTTTTATAAGAACCTCTCTACATGCCTGGAGGATGTTGTCTGGAAGACTGAGGAGGATATGCAAGAAAAGTAAAATCAGCGTTATATTTCAACAAATTTTGCTATGATGGTACATCGCCAGTAATGCTGTTGCTTTATGTCAGCATTCTTTCTTTTGTTTTTCTTTTTTCTTGAGAGGCTTTTTCTACCCCCTATTCGATAGATTTAGACAGACATCCATTGACCTTATGGTTTCTGTGCTATTAATGTCGGAACGCATAGAAAATATACTTAGTGCTGCAAATATGAGAGATGGATGTTGATAGTTTCTCTACTGCTTGTGGGTGTACATTAGAAGACATTATGTACACTTCATTATTATCTTTTGGCAATACAGTATGACTTTAGATGCAGGCTTAGCAGCAGAGCAAGATAATAATATCCGCAGCGAAGCACGCCCTACTTAAAAGACCATGATAGGACCATTAACTTTCCAATATTGGACAAATACTCTCATCACGTTCTCCTCTGTGTGGTATCACTCATACTTAACACGTGGATAAACCCACATGTTGCAAGCTTAAAAGGGGAAAGGCTCTTTCACAAAACCACTACAACAACCTTGTGATATTTGTTGAGTTGCACAATATTTATATTAATAGTCACCTTTTTAAAATAGATAAAAAATTCATTTCAACACTAATACGTGCAAGATTTGTACCAAATCCCTCATGCTCTACAATTTAACAAAAACATATTTGGAAGAGTAACAAAAAACAAAACAAAAATATTAAAGTTATTTTTCTAAAAAATTCACTATTAAAAACAGAAACTACAATCCATTTTGTAACCAAAACTGACCAAACAGAAACTAACTCAACAAAATTGTAAGCAACAAAAAGGCAAAAGCCATGATTAAAGTACTAAAATTAAGTCAAAAGAACATATAGCTTCAAAATTAGATAGATATCTTCCTAAAATCCAATCATCATTGGGGCTTAAAAAATTCAACTTAAACAATCAGAAATAGCAGATCAAGTTGCAACCACACTAACCCAAAAAAAAGAAGAAAAAGAAGCAAATCCATCATGAAAACAAGCAACTAAACAAAGTGAAAAAGACATATCCATTGATGACACAAGTGTATAATTTCCATCACCTTCAAAAATCATACCAATATCCAATGATAAAACAATTTAGCAAATTGTAATTAAATGGAAACTGCAATGCAGTGTGTGTAAAACTGCAATGCAACACTTGTCTAGAAATTCACTGAACGATATAAGCAATCATAAACTGAAAAGTAAAAAAGACATTGTTTTTCTTTCTCGGTGTGAGGAGACTAAAAGTACTTGAACCAAAAACACCAACCGAAACATAACACAAACTTAATTTATTGCAAAGACCTTCACTGTATTGAAACAAGAAGACTCAGAAATTGACAAAATTCTTTTCTTTCAAGCTTTCAACTGTTTCCTTGAGGCTAACCTCTAATTGAATGAATTCAATACCCAAGTTCTTTGCCTTCTCTTTGGACACCTGATGATATGTTGGCACACTAAACCAAAAACACCACCCGAAACATAACACAAACTTAATTTATTGCTGTTTCCCTCTTTTCGGCCGGGTAGGCCGATTGAAGGAGTTTTTGGTCCTTCTTCTTTTTTGAGTGCGGGGCGTGCCACCACCAAGCCCCGAATTTGGGCTTGAATGGAATGTGAGTTGATGGATGTGTTGCGTCCGAGATCTGACTTTAATCAAACGATTGTTCGGCCGAGCAAGGAACCTTCTCACGGCCTATGTTCTTTCACTACCTCGGGGTCATGGCTTTATGTGAGCGACCAAATGATGTGGAGTGGGTGGAGATGAAGATTGAAGGTGAAACGTAATGAAACGAAGAATAATTGCATAAAGTAAATGTGCTTAAACTTAAATATAATTTAAAGACAAACGCGTAAAGTAAAGTGCGAAAGATAAATAACGTAAAGACGAGAATTAAAGTGCGATAAAATGAATTAAAGCAATAAATAAAGCAAGAACGAAATGAAAGCGATAAGAACGATAAAGTAAAATGAACTTGAAATTAAACTTAATTGAAGTGCGATAACAATGAAAAGTAAAGCAATTGAAATAAACTTGAATTTAAATGACAACGTAATGTAAATTGCAAGAATTTAAACTTACACTAAGAAAAGGAAGAACTTGCTACACTAGGTGCATGAAAAGTAAAATCTTAAGTCTAGGAAAAGAAAAGTGCGAGACGAAAAATAGGTTTGTCTATCTGATGTTGTGTGTCTTCTGTCTTCGTCTGGGGAGGTTTATATACGGCTTCCGTCAGCCCATGGGCTGGCCATTGAATGGCCAAATGTCAACTCTTTTAAAAATCTTTCCTTTTGAGGCCCCTTGA